GTTTGTTTGTTTGTTTGTTTGTTTGTTTGTTTGTTTATTTATTTATTTATTTATTTATTTATTTTATGCCCCACCTTTCTCCTTAAAAGGACCCAAGGCAGCTTATAACATAAAAGTTAAACAGGAATTCTCTTCTTTGCATATGTCTTCCTTTAATTTCCTATAAAAACACAACTAGAAATGTTGTCTCGTGTATAGCTTTGCTGTTGTTAATAACAATTGATTTTATTTATTCATTTATTGAATTTATACCCCGCCCATTAAGTCAACTGATTACTCTGGGCAGCTAACAACATATAAAATAAATAATTTAAAATATACGGTAAGAACAAAGTAATGCCTCTAAAGACAACAACACAAGACGGAGGAACAAAATAAATCAAGGAGTGGCTGGAGGGAAGGCTTGCCTAAATGCCCAGTGAAGGGGCCATATGAATCTCAGGAGGGAGTTTATAATAATAATAATAATAATTGTGTGGTATCAAGCCAATTCTGACATACGGTGACACTTTTCAGCAACATTCTCTCTAATTTTCTGCTACCATGGGATGGGGCTCCACCCCAAGCAAATGGGGTTCTGGCTGCGACTGGAAGCAAATGGGCAGCAACTCTGGTTCAGCTGCACAGCCCCAATCCACCACAGGTGCCACATGTTCATTTCCCTCCTCTCCTTGGCCAATGGCCCACTCACCAGCCAGCACACACTCCTTTCCTCCTCCTCTTTGGCTGTTCAGCCAGTCCCCGGCAGAAGTACAGGCTTGCCTGTCCTGCTTCCTTGTCTTAGTGGGCCATCAACAAAGGAGGTGGGGCAGGTAAGCCCGTGCTCTTGCTGGGGACTGGCTGAACAGCCAAAGAGAAGGTGGAAAGGAGCACGCGCCAGTTGGTGAGTGGGGGAATCTAGCTAGGGAGATGTGGAAAAGGAATACAAGGTTCGTGCTCATCTCTACTCCCAACATCTGGCTCCACAGTCACATACCAAACTCACTTAGCTATACCCCTCCTTAAAATCCTGTATCCTAAAGTCCATCCCTTTAAATCTGTAAAACCTCCTCCTCATGATTACATACCTCCCTCTTTTCTTTGGCTTCCTCCCTCCCTTATTCATAACCTCAACTTTTTTCCACTATGTTTTTGATACTCTTGTTTCAATTTATTCTACAATTCTGACTGTTGTGGAAAAGCATTGAGTTCCATAATTACAGTTGCAAGATAAATCTTTTAAATCCTTACTTCCTCTTCCTTTCTTAATATAAGTTTAACAAGTAAACAAAAGACTTCTGGATTGTTTCAGATCTCAGTTAATGAGATTTTCTTCTAGGCGGCTAGAAACAAGAGCTGCATGTTACTGGTAATTCTACTTGTCTGTGTGTGTGTGTGTGTGTGTGTGTGTGTGTGTGTGTGAGAGAGAGTGTGTGTGTGTGTGTGTGTGTGAGAGAGAGAGAGAGAGAGAGATTATCCAGAAATGTGTATCAAGGCCCTTTTAAAAGAATCTTATGTCTTGACAGAACCCCATGAGCAATTAGCTTTCTGGGAATAGTAGTTCCCAAAGGCAAACTAGGAAAATAAACAGTGGTATAAATTTCCTCTCCTTCACAATGCAGCTATTTGTGTTTCCAAATGAAGAAACAGCTAAGTGCTCAAGTAGAGATTCCAGGCAAATGTGAAATCCAAGCCACATCACCAACTTTAGGAGACAGCAATGTACAGCATAGAAGCAGTAATCTGTGCTTCACCTCTTTCTACTTGCTAATTCTCCAAGCAGTGACCTGTGGCTATAAATGAGTGTCTGAGAAAGCAAGGGGTGGAAAGCAATTGTTGTAAGTGGTTGTCATTTTTAAAATGAGGGGTGTACAGGGGGCTAATCCCTTCCAATACTGCTGTTTTCCTACTTTACACTACCCCCTTCCAATGGTGCTATTCTTCCATAGAAATTATTGTGAGAAGCCAGTTCCCTTTTTTGTAGAAAATATATTGTTCACCTCTAAATTAAGTTTAATGATGATGTAGTTTTTTAAATGGATTTGACGGATATTTACAGATGTGCAGACAACAGAGTCCAGTCACTTTTGAATTGATCCCTTTGCCAAATAAGAATTGTCACTTTCTTGTGCCTCAGTTTCTCTAACATGAATTATGATACAAGGATAACAGAATGAATGTAAAACATAATCAATTATTTTACAGCTGCTGCCATTAGACTTTCCAAATGAATTCCTTTTAATAGGTTGTTAAAGGAGAATGGCTCTTGTCCGCTAGACATTAGTGTGCATAGTTCTACAGTGATAACTTTTCTTTTGAATTAAAAAAAAAACCCTGACTACTTACTACTACCGAGGACACTACTATCTCTGTAAGAAAGGTCATACATAAAAGTGGATATAAATATATGTTAATTTAAGTTTGCCAATTGACTTATTTTGACTCAAAGCTTTTTAAATATAATACTAGTCAATGTCCAGTTGCAGTTCTGTTTAATCATAGTCACTTGAATCCTTAGTCAACCTCACTAGATCATCATTACCTTTGTCCTTTCATATGATACACTGGCTCCTCTTCAAAGAAAACATTTCCTTGCAGGCACAATGAGAAGTAATCATGGCCAGATTAAGGCATTCTGAGGTACAAAACTGCACCAAATTTAAGAGGTCCCATAGCCTTACCAAAACTGTTAACACTGTGTAAAACGTCATTTTCTGCTTAAAGGTCTCTCATACTGAGACTCTAAAATATAACTTACTTAGGTCATGTGTAAATCCAGCACTAGGAATAATGCTTCTTCAGTGGCAGCCCACTGAGAAATGCACTTCTGGCGTATAGAACTAATTTGCAGCAAGCCAGAGAATCAATCCATTTTTTTCCTATTCATGTCCCTCCACTTTTCTCATTCTGTACCCATTTCTATATTAGGTTATTTTCCCCCATATAAAAATATGCTTATTTTTAGAATAAAAAATGCAATATTTTCCCACCCAAATTTAAACATTTTCTAATGTTCACACTGCATTGCTTGTTTTATTTTTTGTATTGACCTTGCATTGACTAGATCATTTCCCTACTCTCAATCACAAAATTCCACACATGTTTCCAAGATCACAGGATTTCTTCCTCAGGCAAGCCATTACAAAAAAGCAGAGAGGATAGTAAAAGTGATATGAAAATAGGAAAGGCAAACAAGTGAACAAACAGTTTTGGTCTTAAGAAAGCCTCCTTTCAGTTCTTTTCTGACAACTACTAGAAATTTCCTAGGAATAGTTATGCCATGGAAGCCATTGCTTTTAACAGAAGGGGTGGGTTTTTTTGGCAACTTGAGCTTCATTCCCGAAATCCCAGGAATGTGAAGGAAGGAGATCCTCACTATAAGGTGTTAAGATTGTAGTAGTATTTCGAGCTCATATATCAGATGCCCCTTCTGTTCCTTCTACCCACCATGGAAGCTACTCTCCAGTTAGGGACACTGGCTTTGCAACCTAGCAAAAAGCAACATTTGGAGTGTGTGCTGATGGGTGAATTAGAGCAGTGGTCCCCAACCTTGGGCCTCCAGATGTTCTTGGACTACCACTCCCAGAAGCCTTCACCACCACCTCTGCTGGCTAGGATTTCTGGGAGTTGAAGTCCAAGAACCTCTGGAGGCCCAAGGTTGGAGACCACTGAATTAGAGGACCTGGATTAAATGGATCCAAATGCCTGTCAGACACCAGCCATATTCCTCATGGAGACTTGTCTCAGAGAACATCTAACTCAGATTCCTTCCAGTGCTTGGAGAGGAGGGGACTTGTTCACTAGATGTTGCAGACAAGTCACATTGAAAGGACCACAAGCCAAAAGCTGGTCAATTAATTCTGCTCACTTCATTCTGCCCTGCTGACAAGTGCCCAAAGAAGGTTTTGGAGGGAACTGAGACTTGAAGATTGCAGCACTCTCTCTATCCCCATCTTACACCTCAGGATCCCTTCATCAGAAGGGCTTGTTTTAGAATACTTCATGATCCATGAAAAGTTTGTTGGGATATAAAGATTTATGCTTTCCTCTTTTTTTGGAACAGACCCACAAACAGAAACTCAGTCTTCAGTTTCCCTTGGTATAGGAAAGATCACTGTTCCCACTTCGTCTCTTAAAACTTCCAAGGCCAAATCTTATGAAAATGTTACCTTCTGTTACACTTGGCACTGCCATGCTGCTTAATCATTTCAATTAGGTTTGTGCTGGGAAATTAATTTTAGTGAGTCATAAATAATATCTTACCTCTGTCACTGTCATAGAGATATGCAAACTTGTTCCAATCATAATATTCAATCAGGCTCAAAAGTGCTCCCTTGAGGTCAGGCCTCATCTGGATTACAAATGGGTGAGTTCCATCTGTTGGGAAGCTGGGTGTTATGAAGGATACATGGAGCGTTCCACAAAATGATGTGATTGTATTTACAGACTTCTTGTCATAAAATCCAAAAATAGCAAAGACTCCTCTTGAAAACTGGGAGCAAACTGGAAGAAAGAGGGAAGAAAGAAACCATTTTAGACAGTGTCCTTGCAACATTTCCAGTATTGTTTTTTAAAGTACAAATACCTGGTAGATAAAATTGTGTGTATATGAGAGACAGGCTGGCTAGCAATTTTGCCAACAAACCGAAACCATTCAAGTAAGTTCTTATAAGCAGGTCCCTCTGTGCTTCGTGATGCAATTCGATGTTTTTGAGGTACTGTTGTAATATATATGACTCAAGCTGGTGATGCTTAGGAAGCAGGCCTTTTCCTGTGACTTGGAGGTCTCACTCTCAGTTACCAAAGATAAATATATGATGGTAGCTAAAATGTTGTCTAAGCAGAAATGAAGCTGAAGTACATAATTTGTAAAGCTTTCAAATTCATCAAGGATAGCAGAAAAACTGAATGCTCAATTAATGTTCATCACACTGTTGAATGTAATTTGACCTTGATGGTGATTTTTTAAAAAATGTGCATGAGGAAAAAACCTCAATATATTTTCTCAACACCATATTCTTGCATTTATTAAAGCAAAATCAAAGCAAAGTGTGCTGCTTATATACCGCCCCATAGCATTTTAAAGCACTCTCTGGGCAGTTTACTTTACTTTACTTTTATTGAATTTATTCCCCGCCCCCAGCAATTTACTAACCTCGGAAGAATGAAAAGCCATGTGAACCTTGAGCTGGCTACCTGGGATTGAACCCAGGTCACAAGCAGAGTTTTGGCTGCAGTACTACATTTTGGCTGCAGATGGTCCAGAATGCAGCAGCCAGGCTCCTTAGTGGGGTGAGAAAACACCAGCATATCTCCCCCACCCTGGCTGCTTTGCACTGGTTGCCCATCCATTTCCGCGTTGACTTCAAAGTACTAATGATCACTTATAAAGCCCTAAACGGTTTGGGACCTCAATATTTGGCAGACCGTCTTCTCCCACCCAGATCTACCCGAATCACCCGACATAGCCAGCAGGGGCGGCTGAGGGGTCTGACGCCAAGAGAGGA